AAGGGTGTGCGATTTTTTAGGGTTAAAAAAAATGCCAGGATTTTCATTTTTTTTTTTTTTTTTTTTTTTTTTTTTTACATAAAAATGTGAAAGGCGTGCGGGATGCCTTTTTCATCCAGTCCGCATGAGTCAGTTTTGGTCGGACCATCGTTCACTGCAATTACAGCTGCAAATCTTTTGTGTCTACCAGTTTTGCACGTCTAGTTTCCCATTTCTGTGTAGGAGATGGATGAGATTTCAAAGTAGGTCAGTCACATTCAAAGTAGGCCTTTGCAAAAAATTAAGTCATCCAGTGACAGATTCTCAACTGGATCTGGGTTGGGCCTTAGGGAAGAACAGCTGGATTTAGGTGTATTATAGCTATTTATTCATGCAGCTGCTGAGTACAACAGGTTGCAGTGGATTTTATTTGGAGGCAACACAGAAAGGGGTTTCTTACTTGCAAAAATGTTCAATTACTATGTGAAATTATCTTTCCACTTAACTATTCTGCACTTCTTGGTGTCGGTTTGTCTCATAAAATCCAGTGAAACACACGTTTATCATTACAATGTGGCAATATGCAAAGAAAAGACACTGTAAAAATAACCTCTTTTGATTAAATTCCCAAGAGATCCACTTAAAGGCATAATGTTTGAGAGTCTGGGAGTCTAAGATATGACCGTATCTTCCTTTGTCACTTCCCCACACTCAGCTGTCCTCCTCTGCCCTTGTCTCTCCTAATTGTAGAGATATGGAGTCAGCCATTAAGACCATAGTGACAACGTTTCTTAGTTCTGCCAAGGGGAAAGAGGGCCTCGACAGTAAAACCTTCCAGAAAATGGTCAAGAGCAAGCTCAGTGGCATCATGGAGGTGAGACCACGTACAATCGGTTGCTCTTTTACGCATCGCAGCTGAACCCGTTTAACCCAGATTGTTTCTTTGCGTCCCACATGGCAGGACACAGACAGTTCTTCTGCTATCAAGGAGATGCAGCAGAACCTGGACACCGACAGCGACGGAAAAGTCGACTTCCAGGAATATCTCTCTCTGATTGGCTACATTGCCAACAGTATGAGTCAGAGCAAGAGTGAACAAACGCCAAACTCGTCATAGGAGCAGAGGTCTTTGCAAGATCGTCAAACTAAAGCGCATCCTCTTCTTTCTAAAATCGAAACATTCCAGCCGTTATGTGTACTTTTCTCTTTATCAGAAGTCAACAGTCATGTTACTGAATTCCAATGTTATTTTTATGTTTTTTAAAGATTCATCTTCACAGTTTTATACATTAAAATTCTCTCAGTTGGTCCTTTTGTATAACTGTTTAAAGAAAAGATGAGTAACAAATAAACACTTTGTATTAAAACTGGAGTGGAATGTAGTTTTTTTTTATTTTTTTATACATTTTCTTTTCGGTAACATTCGGTAAACTGCTTAATGAATGAATAAGTATCTTAACAAAATAATCGACGTGTCATGAATTAAATAAGACATTTTAAAAAAGTGTTTGGTCCTTCATATGATAAACCATATCTACGTTTATAATATTTTCATCTCCCTGTCTCATAATGAACAGGTTGATATTTGGCTACTTGTATGGAGAGCAGAAAAGAAAAAAAGTTGTTTCTTACCAAGACATCAATCTAGTCTCTGTACTCTTGTCTTCTGAGAGATTATTTAGTTTATTTATCTCTCATCACCTTGTATCTCATCTGACCAAAACTCACATTTCTGGGTCAAATCCCAGCATCAGCTCCACGTTATGGTGTGATGGTGGGTCTTTTTTTCTGTACGTTTCCCAAACAACCAGTTGATAAATTACCTTTTCTGGCTATTATGGAGAAATGTTAACCCCAAGATGTCACTCTTTTCCACAGTCCTCTTATCCCTCACCATCCTGCTCACAGAAGGTGATGGGAACATAAACCTGCGTCCCTGTCTGTTGCTTAGAACGTTTCTCTCTGCCTTTCTTGTGCCCATTCCCTGACTTATTTAGATCATCACATACGTGCTTTAACAGAGCAACATGTTTTCTTGTCTTTCCCATCTTCAGGAGTGCTAAAGAGAAAGAACTCCTTCACTAACCCTAACCAAACAGTAAGAGGTGATTTGCTAACGCCACAGATTTTCACTCTCAAATTGAAGGTTGTATTTTATTTTTTTCTAAATGTTTCAGAGTGACATTATGCTGCACTCAAAGATTAACTTAATTTTAGGGCTTTTCACACAACAGTACCAGGGATGCAGGCAAACACTGAGGATGCTGTATGCACTGTAGTTTCTCTCTCCACATTGTCTGATAGGTAAAAATGCAGCGCTGCGTTCCTTCCCCTCTCCTTACCTGCCGTACTTGCTAAATATAGCTGTGAATTCCCTGGCGAGCCAAACTCACCGGCCGCTAGATGCATGAAGTGCTGCAACCAGATCCTGACACACAGTATGCTTCCCATTGTGCCCCCATCCTGCCTCTTTGCAACACTATCCACATACATGGCATGTAGGAGCGTGCACTCACACCATGCCACCCCACTCACTGACACTATATACTTCAGCAAAGACGCTTAATAAGCAAGACGGACGACGCTCTTACCAAAACTGCACAATCAAAGATAAATTTCACGGCTCTGTGTTGCAATAAATGTTTCAAACTTGCGTGCGTTGCGGCTATCTTTAACACAGACACATTGAAGAGGGGAGGATTCGTGATCCGAACCGTCTCAGAGTATGTTTCTGTTCCTGCTGAAGTGCGCCTGCAGCGGACTATTTGAAGAATGTTTCTGTTCCCGTTCAAAAGTGACTGTGGTTAAGCTTTTATTTTCATGCTGTTTGCTCAAACATAAAGCGCCTCGGAGTTTGGAGCATGATTGTGTTTGTTAAAGTATTCATGTGTGTTTTGTCCTCTCTTTGTGTGAAGGTTTTGTATGGGGATTTCTCTGTATGGCTGCCAGGTGCAATGGCTCTGTTCACCAGCGCTGCACTAATCCAGCTGGATACTATATCAGGCATGACCCATCCCCCTCTCCCTCGTCCCCCCACCTCCTCTCCCCTTCTTCCTCTGCGAACACCTCGTCCACACAGTCACCCAAACACAGAGGTTATGAAGTTATTTATCTTGATCTTGGCTCATTACTTAGCTTAGTACTCCCTTCTTTGTTTTGGCATGAAATTCAGATGGCTTGCACAACACAACAGGATAAACCACTGTGTTTAGTGTAAATCATCAGAGAAAAAGTTGACAAGTCATCTGAAGACAAAAGCCAACTGTGTTCAGAAAATCCTCTTGGACTATCAGGGGATCATAAACCAAGGTATAAATATTGCAAAGAAAAAAATAAAAAATACTTCAGACTTGCATAGTGAAACCAAGTTGTCACCTGCAATTAAATTTACTGCTTGGATTAATATCTGTTTCAACTCCAAATATAAATTCACTTAGTGTTACTTGCATGTTCTCTATTAGTTTTGGTGATTCTAACACACTGCTGATGAAAACCGCACAAAAACAATGTCTAAAAAAAAAAATAGAATACGATCTAAGACCAATCAAAAGGAGATTTTTAACAGAAGTGTCAACCTGCCGAAACACTGTGTCCCAATGATGTGCAGCATCTGCGCCCAGGAACTCACGATTGCTTTGCATGACTTACTGCATAAATGCAACGTGCCATCGAGGTGGCCAGCCTATATGGCTCTGTTGTGATCTGCAGGAAGTCCAGGTTTGTCAGCAGAGGGATGCATGAAACGCTAGAAGGGTCCAGGCGACTGAACTGATCATGCACTTCAGAAAAAAGAAAAAAAAAAAATTATGACATGGGACCTCAAGCTATCACAGATTGTGGAAACTTCACACCGGACCTTGATCAACTTTGATTATGTGTTTGAATAGAAAAAAGGATTTTGTACCACTTTTCAGTACTCCAGTGCTTTTTCACATCTGTTGTCGTTGGTTCAGTAATAGTGTAACAGAATGTGATGGGTTAAGTGCTGAGACTCTTGAAGCTCCAGCAGCTAAAGTCCACAATTTGTGAATCTCCCCAAAACTCTTGACCGGCTTTACTTCACTGTTCTGTGAAGAACTTAAAACACACGTTTTCCTTCTACCTTCCACTAATATGGTTTCTGAAAACAGTGTGTGAACAGCCAGGTTCTTTAGTAATGACCTCAATGTGGAGGGTCATTACTGGGCAACTGTGCTGTCAGGAGTCTTTCCCCCCCAGTGGTCTTATTTAATATTTGAATCTTATGAGAAACTTTCATTTTGGATTTTCATAATCTGTAAAGCATAATTACAAAATCATCTAAAAAAACAACAAAAAAAACCAAACATTTGATCTAAGTAATCTATATAAGTTTTGCTTTTCTTTAATAGCTGAAATAAGCACCTTTTTTTTTTAAATGATATTGTAATTTTCTGAAATGTATGTTTTCAGTATTTCTCTGAAAATGCCATGTCCAAGTAGCTCAGGAACAAGCAGCAGGTGGATCTTGAAGTGCGCGTGTCGATGGCAGGTGTCTGGCGCGTAAACAGAGAAGTCGGAGTGGAGAAGATGCAACGGGGCAACAGGTGGAAGGAGGGAGAGAGGTGGAGGTGGTTTGGGTGGAGTAAATGGGTTGTATTTAAGGCGCCGTCGTCCAGAGCCTCCCTATCAGCCTCTGTCGCCTCCTCTGTCTGCACCTCGCCGTCAAGCCCGGAGCTTCATCTTCATTCAGGTGAGAACCAAAAGACGGTCTCTGGCAGTAGAGATCTCCCTTCATATGACAAGAAAAGTTCATTTTTAGAAATGCGTTTTATGGATATGGTGCACTGTTTTTGTTTGATGCAAAGCAAAAACAAGCACACAATTAGCTTTCACCCCCTTTTCCCCCCCTCCCCAATTACTGAAAAGCCTGTAATCCTCATGCTATGGACAACAGTGTCTCCAAAGCTGCTGAAAAATGCTCCTCTGTTCATCTCTGACGCTGCAGATTCTCGCTTTCCACAAAAAGAAAATGAGTCGGTAAGCCAAAAAAAACAAAAAACAAAACCGATGCAGCTGTCAGAACGAGTCTCTTACAGGTTAGAGGTGATGCAGGTCGGAGAAAGGCAAGACCTTACACTCGTATCTGCCGTTTTGAGCTAAAGTAAAAGGCGGATCAGGTTGCCCCTGAGTGCATCTCTTCCTCTTGTTGTTTGGCCAGAGTTTGATTTCACCCATATCAACTGGCTCGCATGTTCGGCCGCAAACTCCTTAAGAGGTCCACGCACTGCAGCACATTAATTGAGGATTATTTTTTATATATATATCTTTACCAGGAAAACTGTCAGAGAGGAAACAGGCCTAACTTCTAGGTATTTCCAACTCCTATCAGTTTTTTTTTTTACCCAGTGACAGAATGCTTTTACTCCTCCATCAGCTTGACTTTTTCTTTTTCTACCTGAGAGAGCACCACTTAGACCACTTTTGCTACATCTCCAACCCATTAACTCTTTGTTCCTTTCCAGAATGTCTTTGCCTAACTCAGAGAATGCCTCCACCCTGGAGAACGCCATGCAGCTGATGATCCAGACCTTCCACAAATACTCTGGAAATGAGGGGGATAAATACACGCTGAGCAGGGCCGAGCTCAAAGAGCTGCTCACCACGGAGCTCGGCACCTACCTGGGGGTAAGGAAGCTGAAACACCTACACATGTTTCAGCTGAAAAGCAGTTAATACATCTTTGACTCCCTTTTTCTCACAAATGCAGAATGCCCAGGACAAAGAGGCTGTGGACAAGGTCATGAAAGACCTCGATTCAAACAACGACGGAGAGGTCGATTTCACTGAGTTTGTCATCTTGGTTGGAGCTCTAACTGTGGCCTGCAACGACTTCTTCCTGGAGTTCAACGATAAGCCGGAGAAGAAGTGAGCGGCTCGTAGAAATCCGCTGTTGCAAACACAAAACCCCCCACGCTCCAGCGAGGAAATGGTAACAGACATCCTGTCATAAAGCTGAAGTGCAAAAACAACACAAAAAACACACTGACCTGAGCTGTAATAGTTGCTTTTTGTTTATTTATTTTGTTCTTTTTGTCTCATTGTGACTGTAAACGTGATTATATGATTTCTCATTTCATCTCCTGTCTGGAATTGCTTTTTGATACACCTTCAAGCTAAATGTTTCTTCCCCTGGAAAGAATAAACATTAATTTAAACCGTGCACTGTCGGCTGTGTTTTATTGCAGCACGGAATAAAAAAAAGGAGAGCAAATAGACACCAGGGGGCAGCATTACTCCCTGGTTTATCAAAAAAAGCAATATAGTAGCAGAAGAGCTCAAACAGGTTTATACACAGATTTAAGACACATTTTTGTTGTCATACAACAATGTGTATAGACACAGATGCATCATTGGTGCATTTTACCCTGTAATAGTATATTTCAACTTTTATTTTTGTTGTTGCGTTTGAAGTCATTACTGAGATTTTGAAAATGTTAATCCAGTGTAAATTAGAATCAGTCACTTGTTGTGGTTTGAGGGTCGATTAAAATGGTGAAAGTTTCATGTGTGTATTTATTTGTTTAAAGGGAGAGTGTGCAATAATGAACATAGATGTATGTCAATGTGCCAGATTCAAGCTATAGTCAAATTTTTAACTGAAGTCGCTCGATGATGTAAGACTGAAACAGAAAAAAAGTGAAAGAGGTACAGTTTACAGTGCCTTAAAAAGGTTAAAGCTATTCAGGCCTCTTGTTTTCTTTCTTTCTACAGCTGCCAACAATTACTGGGCTCCTATGCTATAGTCGCACACGAAAGCTTTGTGCACATGTAAGATGTGTAAGAGTAAAGGACGACGACACAGACTCCACAGACGATTAATCTGAACCTACAACCTTTATTGGTCCGGTTAAGGTGAGCAGATTTCAGAGTCGGGAATGGGGGGAAGGTGAAGGATGGTGGAGCATAATCATCAGAGAGGAAGTGAGTGGAAAAAGGAAGGAGAGCGAAAAGGTCGAGGGGAGCAAACAGAGAGTGGGCAGCGGCACTTTCTCTGGTGCAGAGCCATGCAGCCAACAGTATTCACGGGTCTCTGAAAGGCTTTTCACACTTGTGTGAGATCTGCCAGGGATCCCCACGGGTGATCCCACCGTGGAGAGGCAGAGAGGGAGACGGCTCCCAGCGAGTGAAGCTGCAGACCTTGGCCACACGACTGCAGAAATCTGGAGAAACTCACAGACGATGACAACGACAGGGATGACATAGCATGTGTGTGTGTGTGTGTTTTTAGTTCTTTTCCTTTAAAGTGAAACGTTGGGAGTCCTTTCTCTTTTCCGGTTTCCACTCAATTTTTTTTTTTAGGCAATTTCCACTTACGAGTACAGTTGATCCCCTTGAGCTCCTTCTTTATTTCTTAAGATTTTTAATTGCACATGTGATTGCAAAGGTCCTTTTGCATCTTCCATGACCGTCTAAGACCCTGATAAGATTCTGGAAATATTAAGACTAACTTCCAGACATTTGTGAGTTTGGAAGACCAAATATAAGGGGCTGGAGTTTGGCAGGGACTAATTGAAGGAGGGGTTGGAAGACACACATTCTTTATGCTGCAACTCTCAGAGGTGATAATACAGAAGGGTGTTCACATTTACACATCAAAGCTCGGGCGCTGAGCGAGAGGATTAGAGATGCACCTGTCAGAATCCTGTGGCGATTCTGATTTTCCGCTTTTGGAAATCTTGAAGTTGGCTCTGATTTCTCCTTAGAAACAATTAAAGGATAACCGAATGGCACTAGAAATCTTTTGCAATTTAATCTTCCTCATGAGATAACGCAGTGATTTGTATTTAGGAAATAATGTAAGATGAAAGACAGCCTGAAATTAATATGACTTTGTCTGGTAATAAATGGATTGGTGTGTCAAATGCAAATGTTTTTTTGTTTGTTTGTTTGTTTGTTTGTTTATTGCACCAAGAACCCAGCAGGATCAGATCTGATCAAAATGACTAATTGTGTCACCAACAAGGTTTTACTATAATTTCAAAAACAGAAATATTAATGATTTTAAACTAGCTTAAGCATGCTATGGTAGCTTACATGACAAAATCAGCAGAATTAGCATGTAATCCTTAGAGAATCTATATCCTCAATCTGAGATTTTCAAATGCGTTCAGCATTCCTGCTCTCTGCTGAAACTGTTGCTCTCCGGCTGCCTGAATTAACCTTCTCCAGATGTCAGGGACAACCCTGTTTATTCAAAGTACCTTCTCAACATATCTGTGCTTCCTCTGACTATGATTTTAAGCGCCTTAACGATGCAATATTTAGGTAGCTTTGAGTACCTCCGGAGATGACGTGTGTCCTGAACCGGAAAAATATCTGGATTTTGAAGTATCTGTCTGGTTTCAGGCTGGTTTGACTGATTCAGGTCACAAGCCGATCCTTTTTCTTTTCTTGGTGCATCTCTAATGAGGACAAAGGAGCTAAAAGACACTACCTCAGTCTGGTTAGGGCAACAACATGAAGTAAACAGATGTGAAACCATGTTAACACGCACAATTATCCCAAAGCCTTTGAAAGTACCTCCATCAGTTTATCGATAATTCGATGTACACGTAGCTGTCTGCACAACCAACCAGTGCCTCCTTGTTACTTCATCTGGTTAAAAATAGAAAACACATTCCAGCGTCCAGCACGTTCACTGTTCGGTTGCAACATTTTGGCTCAGTTTAATCCACTTCTCAGGACTCGTCTGCAGCTGTGCCCTTTGGTACGGCAATCTGCAACACTTTAAGCAAAAAAAAAAAAAAAAAAAAAAAAAAAAAAAAATTTTTTTGAAAAATTTTTTTAAAAATTTCCCCCCTTTTTTTTTTTTTTCCCTTTTTTTTTTTTCTT